TCGGTGTACGTTTCCAGCCGCATCCCGTTGAGAGAGAGAGAGAGAGAGAGAGAGAGAGAGAGAGAGAGAGAGAGAGAGAGAGAGAGAGACGGGGGGGCGAACACTGCGTTACCTGAGGCCGTGGTGCAACAGACTTTTTTTGCTGCATTGAGTCACACCTCCGATGAGACGGACCATGTGACCAATCTCTGCACCGTCAAGTAGGGCCGAACTCAGCCCTGTCTGTTCTCCTGCAAACCGGGAACAGCTAGACTCACTGAGCATAGTCGAAAAAAACAAACCACGGTCGTAAACTTTGAGGGGTCGCCATGTCCGCCTACAGAGTGCTGCCCTGTGCAGCAGGGCGATAGGCGAGGTCCTACACTGCGGCTGCCCTTGGAAAGCAAAGGCATGGCTCCAGGGCTAATGCAGCATTTTCACTGAGCATTTTAGGACGAATAGCAGACCTTGGCATGGTTAAAATTACCCCAGTAAATTCATTTTCTGTGTGAACTACTCCCTTGTACTCCGACTCCCCAATAATCTCACTACAGTGCACGTAAACGTCCCACGAACAACAACACTGTGGCTAGACTGCGTTGGTGCGCGTGCAATGAGTGATGTCAGAGTGAAGTGGTGCTAAAAAATAAAAAGCTGTACCTGATATAATCTTCTCTGCCGCCGCTTCTTTCTCAGTCATCATTTCCCGCAGTTTAACCTCCTCCCGAGCCTTCTCTCCGATACAGCTACACCAAGCAATTTTCCTGGTCTTCCGAGAGCACCGGGCCAAAGGAGAAAAACATCAACAGAAACAGGCTCAACGCTGCTTCGGTGTCCCTGGGAAACCGCTTCGTTTTAACGCTTCACGCACAGCGAAAAAGCCGCGAAGAAGCTCCTAGAGGAGGCTTGGGGTGTTGTGGTTCTTGAAGAAAGCAAACGGGGGGATGTGAGCCTCAACAGTGAGGATGCTGCTGCTTTGTCCGCCCCTCCCAGTTGCATTTACGGCTGTCCTGGTCAAGAATCCTGCTGCTGCTGCTCCTACTGCTGCTGCCCAGTGTGCTGCAGATCTGGCTAGGACAGCCGGCAGAGATCCTGAACCCGTACAACCAGACATGTGATCCCCTCGACCTACCAAACTGAACCGTTTATATCTGATCAGACTGACCTCTTCAACATCTGTCCATTCAGTCAAGTTTCTCTTTCAATTTACATGTTAGAAGAAACGAAGAAACTCTTTCCCTATTTCACCCTCAGGTGTACTACAATTTCTCCCTTTTTGCCATTCAGTGCTCAGTTAATTTTTCTGCTTTTATTGAAAAATAGGTCAGGTCACAGGGAGTTGGAATTTTGTAAATCTTCACTGTCAGTCCTTTCAGTAAGGGCTGAGATTTGTGCTGCTTGAAACTGAAATCAAATAATTATGAATTTGAAAAGCATGAATTGTAATGATTTTTTAAATTGCATTTATCTGCTTTGAAATTGTATTTAACCTTTGAAAACTCAACTCTCTATTTTTCTTAAATTCAAAATTTAAAAAATCAATTTCAGTTTGCACAATTCAGATTCAATTTTACTATTCAATTTTAGTTCAGCGTGGCACAACCATTATATTATCTATGTCCATGGGTCCACAATATAAAGAAATGGCCTCAAATAACATATTAGCATATTCGTGTACTTTGTTAGCTCCATTGCTGACGGCAGGGAGGCTGAGGTTTATCTGTAGTTACAGATAGCTACAAGATACAACTGCTCACTTACCTCTCTTTGAGTTGTTTGCAAATCTTTGGGTAGCTCTATAGATAGCCTGCACTCTCCCTGTGGCTGTTGCATCTATATAGTGGAGCTTTTCAAGGTTCAAATTCATAAAAAGGTACTAGTGATCTTCCATGGCACAAGAACGATTGAGTGGACTGGCAGTGATTAGTTTTACCAACAAAGTTGGCCATCAGATTTCTTACAGTGATTTCTCTCCAGAAAAGCCAGACAGCATAGATTTTAAGAAGTAGGTGGAGAATTGAGAACAGAGTAACAGATAAAGGCAGATGTGTGGATTAAGATGGTTTTAAGACCTAATTATTTAACTTTGTATATGTTTTTTCACAGTATTTGCTTGATATTTGATTCAATTCTGTCTGTTTTTGTACAATTGAATTTGTTATTATTTTTATAAATCTTACGAATTTTATTTGTTGTTGCACTTTATTGTTGTTCTTGCACTACAAATTCTTTTTGCATATTGCTGTTGAATTTTTTAAAACCAAAAATAATAAACCAGATGACAGTCTTACAATGAATAATTGGTTATATCACTGGGAATGTTGTATAAATCAACCCCAGGCCGCTCTAGCTTAATATGCAATGTTTTGCGATTTAAAACCACATGTGACACCCTGGACATCATTCATTCATTGGTATTATTTGTATTATCATTGCATTGGTATTATTAACGTTATTTACTGGGCCACCACCTTAAATGTGTAATGACATGTCAGGCTGACAACTAGATGATGCAAACAACACTGTAGGTGTTTGAATGATCAACACTCAATATCATAAGCACAAATAGAGGACACCAAATTCCAATTTTGCTTAGGGCCCCATGAAGGTGTGTTAGTACGGCAGATTTACCTCGCCTTTTAGTTAGCAAAATTATTAGATAAATATACTTAAATCACTGTGAGTGATTTTTTTCATGACGGACAACTTTCTAATTTAGGTATAAAGGTATATTTCTAAGGTGTTTCCTCAATGACTCTTGGGGTGGTGTTGCCTCTGTTTGCTCAGTTCTTTTATTAAGTGGAAATGCTGATTAAGCATTTCCACTTATTGTTATTCCTGTCGGCCATTTTTCTTTATTATTATTAAGTGGAAATGCTGATTAAGCATTTCCACTGATTTTTATTCTCCTGTTTCTTAATTAAACTTATTATTCTTCCGTACCTTTTTTGGACCACTTCTCCTCCTTCAAACTTTGTGCGATTTCAACCGCTCAACTATTCCACTCCTTCAGGACATGTGCGGATGTATTTTTTTTTTCTACCCTTTATACGTTTTGTTTTTGTTTTACTTTTTGTGCAAAAATTTTAACTCTGAAGTCAATGGGGAAATCTTCCAATTCTTTCTTTTATTCTTCCACCTTCTGAGCCTTATAACTTCAGCATACTTTCACCTACAGACCTCATTTTTGCTTTAAAATGTTCATTAACTTGTCGACTATTAAACTTGTATTCAATTTTTTATATCTTTTACAGTTTTCCCACAATTTAGCTTTAAGCAACTCATGGTTTTCAGCAAATTTCAGGCTTTATAATGGGTGTGTATTGGAGAGGCTGGAGTGTGTGATCTCATCACTAGAGTGCAGAGCTTCTCTTGGATCGACAAAACCTAGCTCGAATATATCGCTACCATGCCAACAAATTTCACTCCATAGCTATAAAAAATACATCAAAATGGAGGTAAAGGTGTCCTGCTTCTCACAAAAGAGGTTTCAAATCATTAAATCATACCCCTTGGCCAGCAGGTGACCAACTGTCCAAAAATGGCAAAGAACCCTCGCATTGGCCCTAATGTAATTTTTCTCCAAGAAAATCCTGATCATCACTTAGGCTCAGACCTTTTTAACTCACTGTTGTGGCCACATTTTTTTAGAGTACAGACATGAAAAACACATCATTGTATCTTTGAAGGGCGGAGGATTTGTACGATGTTCTTATTTTCATTCTGGGATTTAAGGAAATCACGCTATGTGAAGAAGTTCAGAGGCCCTAAATTCACTGCAGTTAGGCAGCTTCTCATTCAAACAGTAGGTCAGTTAATGCCTTTGATCTCACAGCTGTAAAGGATGCAATCATTAACAAGACACACACACACACACAGTCTGACAGTGTGTGTGCGTGTGTGTCTCTGTCTATAAGACCTGCATGTACACACAGTTAATATGTGTCTGCTTCACCACCTAGCTCCACCCACAAACTTTGAGCTACAGAAACCATTCTGGGCTTCAAAAATTCAGCTTATTGAGGACGTTATGGGGTGTTTTGAAGATTGTGATAATAAATTGTATTAATGTGTCCAGCAGAGTTGTCACAAGCTCCTTATCATGAATATATACAGAGGTTGACCATCAGAGCCTAGCTGGAGAGCTTTTTCCTCAGCTTCAAGCCTCCTCTCTCCTGCTGCAGTGACACATCTTTCTTTGTCATGGCAACCAATTAGTGCACCTGAAGACACACAGCTGACTGGAAAGCTGCTTCTAACGGCCATATGAGACACATGAAACCAGGCTCAGTACACAGAGCACTGGGGGTTACATTTAAAACCCTTCACTAGAGCGCTTGACAAACTCCTCCCATGACCTACAGAAACCATTCAGGGCTTCAAAATTTAAGCTCATTGAGGACATTGTGGGGTGTATTTAAGATTTTGTTAATTAATTGTATCAATATGTTCAGCAGAGTTGTGGGGTTCTCACAAGTTTCTTGTCATGAATGTAGCCGTTACTGAGAATGAGAATCAGAGCATATTTTTGGATTTTGTTTCTCACCTTCAAGCCTTCTTTCTCCTGCTGTAGTGATGCATCTACGGTCTCCATGGCAACCAATTTGTGCACCTGGAAACACACAGCTGACTGGAAAGCTGCTTCTAATGGCCATATGAGACACATGAAACCAGGCTCAGTACACATAGCACTGAAGGTGACATTTAAAACCCTTTACTAGAGCGCTTGACAAACTTCGGCCCCTATCTCCTCCCATGAACTTTGACCTACAGAAACCATTCAGGGCTTTAAAATTTAAGCTCATTGAGGACATTATGGGGTGTATTCAGGATTTTTATTCATTTAAATTTTTCACATTTTAAAGTCACTCAGTAATGATTTATTAATTAATTTTTCAAACTAATTTAAACTCATTCAAACTGATTCAAACCTTTCTGATACTTGATGATGAGATGCACCGATTGCAAAATTCTTGGCCGATACCAATTTCCGGTTTTAAAGGTACCGATGGGACGAAATCTGATGAAACACCAAACTTGGTGATTTGTACCGTGGACTCAGGTGTTTCGTCAGATTTACGAAGCCTTTATCCTGTACTACGCTAAACGGCTGGTCCTCCAGTGCCACGAACTCCATTATTTTCCTAGTGGTGGCTTTGGACTTTTCAGTGCTGATGTCGAACATAGGAGCCACGGCGGAGGGTTGTTGTGGTCGCTGCGACTCTGCTGCATCCCTCCTCTTAGCGGCAGTGTATTCCTTATATTTGCTAAACAAGCCTGGGTGCTTCTTTTCCAAGTGGCGTATTAAGTTTGTTGTTCCAAATGTCTTAGGCGTTGATCCTCCATGGCTGACTTTTGACTTGCAAGCATTACAAACAGCGTGTTTTGGGTCGCTCTGGCACACAGTGTCAAATCACTGACATGTTTTCCTCCTGAGTCTTGCTAATTTTTAGCAGTTTTGCTCTGAGCTGATACGCACCGCGCATGCGGGTCAGTTTGCTCGGGGAAAACCGGCAAATTACGACAGTGACCGGCCGGTCACCGGTTGGGGCCGGTTGGATATAAAACCGGCTTTTTAAATCGGCGGCCAATTGATCGGTGCATCTCTAGTTTTAATATTTATGCATTATTCCATCCTTCAAACAAAATCCCACCTCTAGTACTGCAACTACTGCTAATGTCAATTAAACTAGTACTTTCCCCTCTGCTTCAACTGCTATTGCTCCCATTTCTACTTTCTCTACTGCTGCTATTGCTACTATTTCTACTCTCTCTACTACTTTGACTTATACTTATTTTATTCTCAAACTATTTTTACTGCTTACATGACTACTAATATCACTACTTGATTACTTATCATACTACTTCTAGTACTACAACTTATTCTACTTCTCACCTTCCTGCCTTTTAAGGCAATTTCTGTGGTGTGGCTGGTTCGTTGTGAGGACCCGGAAGCAGACACTGAGACTGAGATCAACTTAAAGTGAATTTTAATATCCAACAAAAGGTTGTAAATGTAAACGAGGATGTCCGGTAGGCTGGTTGGCTGGCTGTCGTGTGGTCTGGAGCCACTGCAGGAAAAACCATAGGAGACGGGAGTTATTGAACATGAAAAGAATCACGAGGAGCAAAGTTCTGATACTGATACAAAGAGGTAGGCCAGGAGACGCATCTGTACCTCTAGGAAGGGTAGACAATACTCAGGCCCTGAGGCTGAGGGCTGCAGGCTTCTTAAAGTGCCTTGATTGGAGATGTGGAGCAGGTGTGTAGTCTCACTCAGCCTCAGCGACCGGGGGAGGGGCGGAAGCTCTGGAAGAGAGTGAAGCCAGACCAGGCAAACAAGGAAACACAGGAAGTCCAGCCAAAATAAAACAAGAGAAGGAGGCGTCTCACCACAATTTCCTTCTTCATTCAAACTTTCTAGCCTCTTTGAGCATGAATAAAATTTCCTTTTATATAGCATATTCATACTATTTGTCCTTCAACCAATTAAACAATTATCCAACTTATATTTCTTTTTCACCCCTTCAACAGCTTTAACATTTATACCTTTCTCCATGTTTTATTAGCAGTTTAGCATAGCTTTTTCAGCACTCAGCATTTCCAGGCATTTTCTGCAAGGAAGTGCAATTTTTTTAGTTTATTTTGAATTTATTAAAAAAAAATACTAATACTAATAATAAAAAAATATATATTATTATTATTATTATCATTATGTGCCTGCCAAGTCGAGCAAGGCATGCACATATTGTTATCATCCGGGCAGGCTCAGTAACGGCCCTAAAATGCAGAGCAACACAACCCCTGTGAAGCATCCAGGCATGGCATAGATCAAAACGTGCGTCTCCATCGTGGGACAGTGGGTATTATTTTTCTCTAGCATTACGGTTTCCACAGGGACGCTAGGCACCAAAAAGTGGCAAAAATTCCCCCATGTAAGCAGATGGGAGAGGGCGAGAAAAATATAGATTTTTCGCATGAATTTGACGCCTCATCCTGACGCCATACTTTGATGTAGAAGCGTGATTAAAACAACAAAACACTGACACTGGACCTGTGATTTCAAAAGTGTAGACGGCTTGTCAATATCTGGTACAGTTTGGCCACAGTAACTGTTCAAGTGAGGGGTGCAAACGAGGATTTTCTGTTTTTTAGAGTAAACATTTTAGAGTGAAGAGAAGTGACCGTGTAATCCCAATTTTTAATTTCTAAATCACTGTTACGGCCACAATTTTCACTCAACACACACAAATTATACATCAAAACGTAGGAAATCTACCAGCTAGACAGAAAATGTGGACCTTGAAGCCATGAGACGCTCACTTTTCAAGCTACAGGGTTTTGTTCAGGAGGAGGTACCTGTTTCACCTCCATCCACTGCCATTCAAAAAGAACACAAATGCTCCACATCTGACTGTTGCTCATTTTTTCCAAACAACTCACACTCCCATCTAAACCGTAAAGCATACTTGTCCTTCTGATATGTCATAGCTGTATTCAAGCAGTCACTCACAGTCCAGAGTTTTTTCCAATACAACAAGTAGTTTGTCAGCAACAAGCCTTTTGTGGGCACTAGTGAGATATTAAGATTCCTATTCAAAGTGAATGGAGCTGCTGAAAACATAGGGTGGTCTCAATATTTGGAGCTTGATTGTGATGTCATACTTTGAGGTAGAAATGTGATTTGAACTCTGACGTTTGGATGAGACCCGAACCCTTCAACATGCGAAAACCGCATTTCCAATATCTCTTACAGTTTACTAATAAGTGAGTTTGTTTAGGCTAGTCCTGTTCTAAGCAGGCAGAGGCTCAGTGAGGCAGAGTCTGTGTCACAGGAGAGCTGCAGGTGCACTGTCACTATGGAGATGATTCCCACACAGAACATAGGGCCCGCCCACCTGGTCTTGATTGACAGCTGTCTTCCAGATGCCACAACAAATCATCAACGCCCTGACATATCAGCACCATATTTGACATGTCCCCTCGTGACCCCACTCTGAAGACATGTCCCACTCTGCAGCCATCTTGGATGACCCCACCATCCGCAAACAGGAAGTAGCCCATAACACATTAATGCCCTCATGTATCTCCACCCAAAACATGACCTAAATGTGAGTAAGTCAGCGGCAAGCAGCAGCGAGTCAGCAAGCAGGCAGTTGAATATCAAGTTTTTTTTTTTGATATGCACCTTTTACTTACCCCTTTTACTTATTTGTTCATTTAATATTATTGTTTTCTTATTTCAGTCCATCAGGTTTTACTCTTTTCACCATTTTTATCTCTATTTTTATCTCCAGTGTTTCCTAAAGATAGCTCTTTCCTCATGTAATGTCTCGGTGTCAGGCCATGTCTCTTTAACAATATATCTTAAATTCTCACACTGTACGCGGTTGTGTGTGTATATGTGTGGGTGAGCGAGGGTGGGTGTGTGTCTTTGTGTGCGTGTGGGTCCATGGGTGTGTGTGTGTGTGTGTGGGTGGAAGAGTTGGGTTTTTGTCATGATTGTTGTTTTTAGCCTCTGTGAGGCACTTTGAATTGCATTTTCTCTTGTATGAAAAGTGCCATATGAATAAAGTTGAATTTGAATTTGAAAATTTCCCTGGAATTTTCTAATAATAATAATTATTGTTATTACATCATATAATATTATATATATTTTTTTTTCAACCTTGTTACCCTTTAGATGGGCTTGAAAATTCCTGTAATTTGGCAGGTGGGTCAAATGCAAATATTTTGCCATGCCCCTATATATAATTCAAATGATATGCTTGAACCTAGAGGTTGCTGCAAGTCTGGTCTCTCTAGCATAAGGTCAGAGAGAGATGCTCAAGCTAGTGGCAAGAAGAAAGGAGGAGGTCTGGCTTTATTTGTCAACCAGAGATGGTGTAACCCTTCACACATAACTTCACACATAAGGAGAGGTTGTGTTGTCCAGATATTGAACTGTTGGCAGTTGCTCTTCAGCCATATCATGTTCCAAGAGAATTCAGTCATATCATAACAATAGTTGTTTACATTTCACCCAAATCAACTGAAGAAATTCCGTTCGATGTTTTGCAAAATAGTGTTGCCAGGCTACAGACTCAACACCCTGAGGCACTAATAATAATATCGGGAGACTTCAACCATGCCACCCTCTCCTCTCACCTAACTGGATTCAAAGAGTTTGTGAACAGTCCTACCAGAGAAAACAAGACCCTGGATCTGCTGTATGCCAACGTCAAAGAAGCCTACAGAGCCACTGCCTTACCACCACTGGGCAAGTCAGATCATAACTTGGTCTATCTGCAAACCTGTTACAGACCTTGTGTACTGAGGCAGCCTGTGAAAAAAGACGAAATCAGAAGATGGACACTTCAAGCCAGTGAAGCTCTAAGGAACTGTTTTAAATCAACAGACTAAAATGTGCTGCTGAAAACAGATGTGGATGAACATTGATAAACAGGTTGACTGCTTTACTGATAATGTCAACTTCTGTAGAGACACAGTTATACCCACAAAGAGTGTTCGCTGTTTCCCCAACAACAAACCCTGGATCACAAGACACATTAAAGCAATCCTTAACCAGAAAAAGAAAGCTTTTAAAGATGGTGACAAAGAATGTCTCAACAAGTGCAACAAGAGATGAAGAGGAGACTGGAGATGGCAAAGCTGGAGTACAAAAAGAAGATAGAGAAGAATTTACAACACAGCAACATCCGTGAAGCGTGGAGGGGAATCAGTACCATCTCTGGACACAGCAATAAAAAGAAACTAGGGCCCCGGTGGGGCACTGTCGGGCCCGAGCCGCGTTGCGCCGCCCCCAGCGCGACCGCCTCCCCTCCCGATCGCGTCACACTCAAGGTCCAAAGATGGTGTGCGCACTTGTCTGTGGTCATTTCCCATTATAATGAATGGGAGGCGCAGTTTCTACCAAAACACTCGCTGCAGACAAACTACATGTCCTATTTGAAAAAAGTCTGGACCATGAGTGAGGGCACAAACACAGCTAGGATATATCCAAATGGAAAGTTGCTCCTCCTTACGGTGTTGCCGGGAGAGCGATGCGATTGAGCCATTGAGCGATGACTTTTTCTCCTGCCATTGGGGGGGGGGGGGGATGTGGATTCTTTTAAGAATGTGGATATTTGGGTCATCTTTGGCGCCCCCTAGAACGTAAACCGTGGGGTTCAGCATCATGATTTGTACAACTTTGAATGGCCATGGGGTGTAGATTGGCCTGAGCAAATTTGGTGTCGGTGGTACGAAAGCCTTAGGAGGAGTTAGCCACATTCCAATGTGTGTGAATCGGCAAAAAATGCAAAATAGTCCTTTAACCGTACATTTTACAGATACGCGCGCATGGACTTTTTCATAGATCTTATTGAGATACAGGTGATTGTCAAATTTTGTGTCAATATGACAAAGCGTACAGGCGTGACACTCAACAATGTGCATTTTCACCTTAGGGGACAAGAAAAAATTGACTTTTTTCTCCTGCCATGCGGGGGGCGCTCTTTCTGGGGAGTAAAAATTCCTTCATAAATGTGTTGATGGCTGGACATTACATCATCCTAGAAAACTTGGAGGCCAGTGAGGACAAAAATAAAAAGTTATAAGACTTTTAAGAATGTGGATATTTGGGTCATCTTTGGCGCCCCCTAGAACGTAAACCGTGGGGTGCAGCGTCATGATTTTTACAACTTTGAATGGCCATGGGGTGTAGATTGGCCTGAGCAAATTTGGTGTCAGTGGGACGAAAGCCTTAGGAGGAGTTAGCCACATTCCAATGTGTGCGAATCGGCAAAAAATGCAAAATAGCCCTTTAACCGTACATTTTACAGATACGCCCGCATAGACTTTTTCGTAGATCTGATTGAGATACATGTGATTGTCAAATTTTGTGTCAATATGACAAAGCGTATAGGCGTGAATCTCAACAATATGTATTTTCACCTTAGTGGACAAGAAAAAATGGACTTTTTTCTCCTGCCATGGGGGGGGCGCTCTTTTGGGGAGTAAAAATTCCTTCACAAATGTGTTGATGGCTGGACATTGCATCATCCTAGAAAACTTGGAGGCCAGTGAGGACAAAAATAAAAAGTTATAAGACTTTTAAATATGTGGATTTTAGGGTTATCTTTGGCGCCCCCTAGAACCTAAACCGTGGGGTGCAGCGTCATGATTTGAATAACTTTTAATGGCCATGGGGTGTAGATTGGCCTGAGCAAATGTGGTGCCGGTGGAACGAAAGCCTTAGGAGGAGTTAGCCACATTCCAATGTGTGCGGATCGGCAAAAAATGCGGAATAACCCTTTAACCGTACATTTGACAGATACGCGCGCATTGACTTTTTCGTAGATCTTATTGAGTTACATGTGTGTGTCAATTTTTGTGTCATTTTGACAAAGCGTATAGGCGTGACACTCAACAATGTGTATTTTCACCTTAGGGGACAAGAAAAAATGGACTTTTTTCTCCTGCCATGGGGGGGCGCTCTTTTGGGGAGTAAAAATTCCTTCACAAATGTGTTGATGGCTGGACATTGCATCATCCTAGAAAACTTGGAGGCCAGTGAGGACAAAAATAAAAAGTTATAAGACTTTTAAATATGTGGATTTTAGGGTTATCTTTGGCGCCCCCTAGAACCTAAACCTTGGGGTGCAGCGTCATGATTTTGATAACTTTTAATGGCCACGGGGTGTAGATTGGCCTGAGCAAATGTGGTGCCGGTGGAAAGAAAGCCTTCGGAGGAGTTAGCGAAATTCCAATGTGTGCGGATCGGCAAAAAATGCGAAATAACCCTTTAACCGTAATTTTGACAGATACGGCCGCACTGACTTTTTTGTAGATCTTATTGAGATACATATGTGTGTCAATTTTTGTGTCAATATGACAAAGCGTACAGGCGTGACAGTCAATAGTGTGAATTTCCACCTTAGGGGGCGCTATGGAGCCATTTAGCATTTTATTGTTTGGGCGACTTCAGAATATCGAATTTTTCACCAGGCCCGGTCGTCCTGCCAAATTTCATGATTTTTCGCCAGTGGGAAGTGGGCCATTTTCCAGTTCAAAGGGGAGGAAAAATAAGAAGAACTAGGGCCCCGTTGGGGCACTGGCGGGCCCGAGACGTGTCGCGCCGCCCCCAGCGCGACCGCCTCCCCCTCCCGATCCCGTCACACTCAAGGTCCAAAGATGGTGTGCGCACTTGTCTGTGGTCATTTACCATTATAATGAATGGGAGGCGCAGTTTCTACCAAAACGCTCGCTGCAGACAAACTACATGTCCTTTTTGAAAAAAGTCTGGACCATGAGTGAGGGCAAAAACACAGCTAGTATATATCCAAATGGCAAGTTGCTCCTCCTTTCGGTTTTGCCGAGAGAGCGATGCGTTTGAGCCATTGAGCGATGGGCAGGAAAAACTTGACTTTTTCTCCTGCCATAGGGGGTCGCTCTTTTGGGGAGAAAAAATTCCTTCACAAATGTGTTGATGGCTGGACATTGCATCATCCTAGAAAACTTGGAGGCCAGTGAGAACAAAAATAAAAAGTTATAAGACTTTTAAGAATGTGGATTTTAGGGTTATCTTTGGCGCCCCCTAGAACCTAAACCGTGGGGTGCAGCGTCATGATTTGAATAACTTTTAATGGCCATGGGGTGTAGATTGGCCTGAGCAAATGTGGTGCCGGTGGAACGAAAGCCTTAGGAGGAGTTAGCCACATTCCAATGTGTGCGGAT